GAGATCATAAATCATACATTGATTAGAGACATTAGACCAGCGGTCTCAACCTGTGGGTCACGACCCTTTTGGGGGGTCGAACGACCCTTTCACAGAGGTCGCCTAAGACCATCGGAAAACACGATTTCACTGAAGCTATGAAGTAGCAACGAAAATAATTTCATGTTTGGGGATCACCACAATAGGAGGAACTGTATTAAAGGGTCGCGGCATTTCGAAGGTTGAGAACCCCTGCATTAGAGTCAAAAATTGTATTTTTTAGGATATGTTAAGTGGAGGAATGGACTCAAGGACTTGGCAACAACTGGTAGAGTTGATGGAGAAAGAGCAAAGGGAAGGCAAATAGCTACATACCTGCATGACTTAGATATATGGACGGAGAGAGACAAGAGTACTGACCTGATCCATGATTCTAGTGATCATGTGAGATGGCGAAACATGACAGTCTTCCCATGTAGGTGTGACTCTTGGCTTTATGATGTTGATGTCAGTCTAAAGTGTCACCTTCAGGACACTCTCTTATGCTCATTGGGTACAATTCATACATAGCAGCCAGTATCCCAATCTGCGATTTGGGGGCCTTATTTTTGGGGGCCTAGTTTTGGGAGCCTAGTTTTGGGGGCCTAATTTTGGGGGCCTAATTTTGGGGGTCTTATTTTGTTTGGGCATTGGAGAGAGGAAAAAGGGGGGGGGGGGGGGGGGAACAAAGAATGGAGTCACTGATTTCGCCAACAAGCATAATTTAAAGAGCAACTAATTAAGAATGTTTGCTTCGATGTACGAATGCATCTGTCCGAGAGGCGAGCAACCAACAGTCTACACACAACCAACCCGGATCTGTAAAATGGATGTGATAGTAAAACTCAAGTTCTGAAACAAAACAAAAATCCAGAAGTGGCGAACAACCGAATCTCCCAGTCGGAGTTTACAGCTGGTGTTTACAGCCGGAGTTTACAGCCGGAGTTTACAGCCGGTAAAAGGCTAAGCAGCTTATTTTAAAATATATACGCTTTTCAAATAATTGTAAGCCAAAAAAAAAAAAAAATGATTGTGTCTGTTCCAACAGAACTGCACCTTTAACAAAAAAAAAAAAAAAAAAAAGGAATTTGTGAGATCCCACTAAGATGCAGCTTAGATTATGTCAAAGTCCAGGACTGATGCTAGGGAAGGAAAGGAAGGCAGGAGCAATACAGATTTCAAACCCCAACCATCAGACTGCCAGGCGTGTAGTACAGACAACAGCCACTGCTCGATTGTTACTCACACAGTCCCTTAAACACATCATTTATCTCACAGCGTTTAAAACATGAATCTGTAATTTACAACAACAATACAGAAGAGGTGACATTATCAAAGAACAGAGTTAAAAGTGCATCAACAGCCACTAACATTAGAGCGTGCATGTGAAGTTCAAAAACATTATAATCTTGGTGGCCAAAAGTTTAAGATCGCGCAGTATTTTAATGTATATTTTCATAGGGAACACGAAATACAATCACTGAATTTTATTGAAGCATCATTAAATTATAAACTAAGAAACCCCAGACTGTTGCTGTCTTAAGTGCCATTTGTTTGTTAAACAGGATTTTCTCTGGTAATTTATTGGTATTATATTGGCAGGGAACTGAAAAAAGGATACTTCATGCCATTCAAAGAGCTAAAATAATTCTTTACGTAGAGAAGGTAAACTACAGTGATTACAAGGCGTGCCCTAAAGACAGTTGATGCAATACTTAGTAATAGAATGGAAACATACATTAAAAAAAAAAAAAAAAAAGAAACATTAGTTACTAACTTTTTGGCCAGCAGTGTAAAATATCGGTTGAAACAGGCACAACTGTGGTATAGTTGAAGTTTTCAGGTTGCCACGTTGGCATGAAAGAAAATAGCTGGACATGATAGTTTTCCATGTTGTATGATGTAGCCTGGAAGCTACAACTGTGTAATGGCTAGACGCCCACCATAGGGTCCAAAGGTGCTGGTTTCAAATCTACATCGGGTCTAATTCTCCACCCCCCCTTTCTCCTTCAAAATTGACCTTAGCTGGCTGTTGACTCAGCTTATATTTGTATCTGACACACAAAAACAACAAAAACTAAAAAAAAAAGAGCATAATCAAATCTATAGTAATGTACCATTTTCACTTCTTCGGGCGCATTCCAATCGGTACCTGATGGGTGATGTGGTTAACATCCCACCGGCCGCCTTTACATCCCAGGACTACCTGGTAGCCGTTTAAACCTGGATTGACCTGGGAGCAAAAAAGAAAGCATTCAGCTTCTACACCACATCTACGCATTACATAATCGCATAAGCAAAGACACTCTTCTGCCGACCAGAAGCTCCTGGGTTACAATCCGCACTGGGGGGAATTTAGAAAGTCGCACTGGGGGGAATTTAGAAAGTCGCACTGGGTGAAATTTGGAAATCCGCACTGGGGGGAATTTAGAAAGCCGCACTGGGGGGAATTTGGAAATCCGCACTGGGGGGAATTTAGAAAGTCGCACTGGGGGGAATTTAGAAACCCGCACTGGGGAGAATTTGGAAATCCGCACTGGGAGGAATTTAGAAAGCCGCACTGGGGGGAATTTGGAAATCCGCACTAGGGGGAATTTGGAAATCCGCACTGGAGGGAATTTGGAAAGCTGCACTGGGAGGATTTGGAAAGTAAACTGACCTTGGATCCCAGGTCGACAAAACTCAAAACAGGCAACAGGTACCGTGCTGGGAGGTAAAGGCGTCTGGAGGGATATTGAACACATCAACCACCGAGAGTCGATTGGTAAAAAAAAATATGAGTCTGGAATTATATGCTAGTTTCGCCATTACAGCGAAAAGGGTCCTTTACTGTACTGTACTGTACTGTAGGATACTGTACTGTACTATACTTTACTGTATACTGTACTGTACTGTACTGTACTTTGCTATACTTAAGTTCACTGTACTGTATTGTATTGTACTGTGTAGTGTGCTGTGCTGTGATTTTTTTTGCTGTGCTGTGTTTTACTGTGCTGTGCTTTACTTCAATTAACTAAATTGTCTGTTACATTTTTTCCCCCTTATATTAATTTTCAGTGTTAATTTATATCCGGGAATGTAAGTCTCAGTTTGAACACAAGATTTTACGTTTTATTTAATGAAGAACACGTGATCTTTGTAAATATGTGAATTCATTGACTGACACACGTGAACAAATCTAGAATTCTGTAGGGAATAAATATTTTACTCTTAATCTTAAGTAAATATAGTTTAAATCCTACAGTGACAACATCTGGAATACTAGAGTGAACGAATCTTAAAATCTATAATGAACAAGTATTTCATTATATAGTGAACAGTCTTGAGCTATTTAACGAATAAATTTTGAACCCTGTAGTGAATAAGTCTTGAAGTTTAGTATGAAAAAATATAGAACCATATAGTGAATAAGTCCTAAAGTCTAGTGTGAACAAATATTGAACCATTTAGTAAATAAGTCTTGAACCCTATAGTCAACACATTTGTAACTCCACAGTAAACAAATGTTGAACCTATGGTGAATTTTGAACTCTATAGTGGAAAAGATCGAATCCTATAGTGAACACATTGAACGCTGTAGTAAACAAATTAACTCTAGAGAAACCAATCTGGAACTCTTTAGTGAACAAATCTTGAACTCTATAGTAAACAAGTCTTCAACTCTATAGTAAACAGGCAGGCTTGAACTCTTTAGTGAACAAATCCTGAACTCTAGAGTGAACAAATCTTGAATTCTATAGTAAATAAATTTTCAAGTCTTTAATGAACACATCTTGAACTCTATAGTGAACAAATCTGGATCTAAATGGGGGAGTAAATCCTCAAATCTACAGTAAAAGCGTTTTGAGCTCTTTTGTGAACAAGTCTTGAAATCTTTGGTGAGGCGATTTTAAACTTTGTAGTGAACATATTTTGAAACGCACAGTAATTACGTTTTAAGCTATGAAGTGAACAGATCTTGAACTCTGAAGAAAACAATTTTTGAACTTAATGGTCAACAAATTTTGTCCGCTAAACTAAATACATGTTTAATCATACAGTGGCAAAACCTTGAATAATAGAGCAATAAAATTCTGGAACATAGAGTGAGAAAATCTTCAACCACAGAGTAGACAAATCTTGAATTCTAGACTGAAGAAATTGTGAACAAAAGCGTGAACAAGTCTTGAACATTAGAAATAATCCTGAACCTAACTGTGAACAAATCTTGATCCCGTCAGTAACCAAATCTTGAACCCAAACTGAACAAATCTTGATCCCGAGAGTAACCAAATCTTGAACCCAGACTGAACAAATCCTGATCCTGAGAGTAACCAAATCTTGAACCCAGACTGAACAAATCTTGATCCTGAGAGTAACCAAATCTTGAACCCAGACTGAACAAATCTTGATCCTGAGAGTAACCAAATCTTGAACCCAGACTGAACAAATCTTGATCCTGAGAGTAACCAAATCCTGAACCCAGACTGAACAAATCTTGATCCCGAGAGAAACAAAATCTTGAACCCAGACTGAACAAATCTTGATCCCGAGAGTAACCAAATCTTGAACCCAGACTGAACAAATCTTGATCCTGAGAGTAACCAAATCTTGAACCCAGACTGAACAAATCTCAAACTTCAGAGCAGCAAAATATTGAACACAAGAGTCTAATCTGATTTGAAGAAGAAGTTATGGAGTCAGAGAAATGTTAGGGAACTGGTCATGAATGAGGAAGATAAAAGTAAATCATGTGATTTTTGTTTGAGTGTGGCTCCCGGTCTGCAACATGAAGGTTCATTTTAACACCTCACTAACCCGATGATCTAGTGACTGGATGCAAATCCAACAGAAACAAACCAATTCCCTGCCCCCCCCACCCCAAGTTTTTAGAAAGAGATGTATCTTAGTGTATCTGCAGTTTTATATGTGGTGATGCTATTTAATAATGATTCAGAAAAATGGGTTAATGTAAGGCATCGGTTGATAAACGTAAAAAAGAGTCACTTTTTGTCGTTGTTTTTGTTATTCAAACCGTTACTTTTTAGTCCGACTTTTCTGGAATGATTGGAGGCTTCGTTAAGTAGGTCAGGAGCAATAAACCCTGGGAGAATTGTCTGTGTGGCTTTCATCGGTTGCTGCATTGACATCACACCCTGCACATTCACAAGGTGTCCAGAAGTATTTTGTTGACATGTTGGGCAGAAATTATGGCTGGGAATGTTAGGGAAAAAAGTTGAGGCTGTGGTACAAACGTGGGAGGTGTATGTTTTAGAGTTTTGTACATCATGTTGACAATGTCGCTTCAGCTGCCTGCTTTGGTCGTTTTGAATGTTTAAACAACATCGATGTTGACCATCTTGTAAAGGGGTGTGAGCTTTGTTCAAATGTTCCCTACCGTATTCGGGTAGAACCGTTGGGGATTTCAAATGAGGGTCTTTGTGATCTTCTCCTGCATTAGAAGCATTAGTCAATTCTGCATTCGCTTTCGGTTTGTAGAACTCACTCGCGTTGGGAATAGCGTTGTGTTTAACCTGGCTCATCACAAAGGAATGTAGCGGCGTGTCTCCCAACATTGGGAATGGGAATTCACACGGCGGTTGGGTCAGTGGATGCTGGCTGGGACCTATGGCAGGTGGTTTGTTGTAGATCTTTGATAAACTATTGACCACGGGGCAGTTTAACTGGCGATAACTCTGGTTAACGTTCTCGTAAGGCGGAGACAAGGCACAGTTTTTTTCCAGCTCGAAGTAATTAGGCAACCTAGATCTCTGCATTGTTCCTGAAAGTTCTTCCCCGTTGAATTTTGTTTCTGCAAATTTCTGATTCTCGCGTGGATCGCTTCTGGCTACTGGACGCTTCTGAATGGTATCAAATAAAGTTTGTGAAATGTCAAATGGGGCAGAACTCTGGTTCGAGTCGGGTTGTTCAGATAAAGAGGGCATTGTGTCCCTTGGATGGTGAACGATTTCCTCTTCCTTTAAACAGGCTTCTTCATCAGTGTCGTCGATAGATTCATAAACTGCTGAGTATGTATGCGAGTAGTACTGATCCGAGCGGCTAGGACTCATTAGAGGTCGGCACGATGAACAGTTAGGACAGTTCCAGTTTGGATCACACGAACGGTGGCAAGATCTTGGTGGATTCGGAAGGCCACGATGTCGGAAAGGTGGATAAATGACTTCCTCTCCTTGAATCTGACAGATGGATGCCAAAAAAAAAAAAATTTAATATGGTATTTATAAATGGCTGCACATGGCATGCGTCTGAAGTACAAAGATGAAGAGAACGTACAAATTCATATTGTCTATTCATTTTATCTATTCTATAAAGTTGCTTGACGTTGATTGGTTGCGGCTAATCAATAATTATTGCATGGTAAATTAAAATATAAAAATAACGAATGTAGTATAACAGCTCAAACAGTGTTGGAGTATAATGCACGTTATTAATTTAAAGCCCTACTCTGGCGTCGGCTCTGTGGCTAAGTCGATGCGAACACTTCGTAATGCCGGGATGCCGGGTTCGACCCCAGCTGCGGGCCACACGCCTTGCGTTGGTTTCGACAGTGGTATTAAGAAAGCCGGCCGTCCAGAGAGCAATGGCAAACTACCGGACGTAAATTTGCCTAGAGAAACCACACAACAGCCAGGGGCTGTTAGAATTGGTTCTGCAACGTCCTGTAAAAGATACGCAACTAACCTTTAACCTACTCTGGCCCTCGTCAGGGGCCGCAATATAACCCGGCCATAAATATGGCCTAATGGCTGAACGCGGTTTCTGGGACCTCTCCACGGTGATCCTCATCCACATTGTGGCACTTTGTGTCATTTGGTATTTATCGCTTGTGTGATGTCCTGGTGGAGCAGGAAGTCAGTCAGTCTGGAGTATAAAGTGTTAAAACTTCAATACAACTACTACTACTACTACTACTACTACTACTACTACTACTACTACTACTACTACTACTACTACGACTACTTCTTCTTTTCTTCTCCTCCTCCTCACCCCCATTCATTTGCGTTTGCCCCTAAAAAGAAATTAGCACGCCGTGTCGTGGTTTACAGTTAGGCTGCGATATCTTCACCTGTTGGTCCAACACATCTGATTTCAGTAAACTCAGGAAGGTCACCTGTACAACATGCTTGTTGTGTGGTAGTGGATCTATTTCCACCCGATTACATTTTCACCAGCATGAGAGCCGGAAACACACACAGCAAACAATATAAGCGGAGACAGTGGCTTAGGCGTTGTGAGTCCAACTCGTAATTCCAACGTACCGCGATCCACATCCATTGCTGGCTGCGTGGATTTTTATCGTGGTATGGGACGTCGCAGGTCAACCCAGCCTGAAATGAGTACCAGGATGTATGTCCCGGGGAAGTAAAGACGGTCGGCCTAATGCTGACCACACTACCCACCTAGTGTGGATTGAACTGTAAAAATATGAGTGCTCTTCCCAAATGTCCGATGCACCTAAAGGCGTAAAAAGGGATCTTTACTTTACCCTAATTCCTCCTCCGGGGGCTTAAGCTGGACTACAGCCTTTGCTGGATAACCACTAGACTCCGAATGCTGGTTTCCCCCTTGTGGTACACAGTACTGGCACCTTTTTATTGCCTCATTTTTTCTGCGATACCTTATCGACACTTTGTCTCCAGTAAGTAAGCAAGTAAGTAAGTAAGTAAGTAAGTATGTAATTAAGTAACTAAGTAAGTAAGTAAGTAAGTAAGTAAGTAAGTAAGTAACTAAGTAAGTAAGTAAGTAAGTAAGTAAGTAAGTAAGTAAGTAAGTAAGTAAGTAAAGGAACCATATTAATGCCTGCTGGCATATTGGCACATAGGGCTAGACCTATTTATTTAGACCAATCGGTACTCGCTGGGTGATGTGGACAGCATCAGCTACATCATCTTTATCACAGTACTGTACTTGGTACCTATTAAAGGTTGGGTCGCCCTGGAATCCAAAGTCTATTAAAAAAAAAAAAAAAAAAACGGTTTCGCCACGATCTGAACCCACGACCTTCCGATCCGTTGGGAGCTTCTAGCAGCTACATCACGGTGGCTGTGTGTGGCGAGTATCGGCACTTAGAAAAAAAAAAAAAACATTACGTAGAACAGGCACCTCTCTAGCCAAAACAAAGCCCTCTCCAAATGTAAAAATGAATGCTACGTAAATGGCAGGAGTATTCGCATAGCCCCTGATGGCCCTGTATGGCTTTTTGCGTATGAAGTATACTGCGTTTACATCGTTATCCGTGTGAATTTATCTTCCTGTTTCTGTTTATTTAGATCTTTGTTCAGTGTCTACACCTGTGTCATTGTCGCTGTCGTCGTTATCATTATCCTCCTCCTCCTCACCATCATCATCATCATCGTCATCATTATCATCATCACGATCGCCATCTTCATCAGCATTATCATCATCATCCCCATCATTATCAAATTCATCATCATCAACATTATCATCAACATCGTCGTCGTGGTCGTGATCATCATCATCATCATCATCATCATCATCATGAAGCACATCCTTTGCAGAACCCGGCTCAAATAAATCCAGTATTAAACCCGTTTCCACGCCTCTAGCGTTTTAGACATGAATGGCTAAACCTATATTTTACAGACCAATCGACACTCTATAAGTAATATGGTCAACATCATGCCGACCGCCTTTAGTTTCCAGAACTTTACCAGGTACCCATTTAAGGCTGTGCTGACTTAGAAGTCAAGGTTATTTTTGAAAGCAAGTCCGGCTCTGTCAGAAACTGAACACATGACCATAAGATCCACAGACATCATGCCGCTGCACCACGCGGCTCCTGTTGTCTAATATGAAAAAAACAAGCATAAATGCACACCATATGAGTGTTTTCTGATCCTTACATTCAAATGAAGCTAATTATAATTACAATCATCCAAGGCTATTTTTCCCCACACTGTGTTTCAGTTGAATTGAGTTCAGTTGAGTCAAGATTTGACATCACCACTCGGGACATTCCCATGCGTGCTCCGTCCTCATCCTTAGCAGCTAGCGCAGAGTTCCAATACTGATGATACCGGTCACAATCTGGTTATATGTCCGTCTTGCCTTTTCTCTGAGTGTAGTGAGCCGATGAGACCATCCGGTTACACCCAGGTGGCTCATTCTCTCCAAGCCATAATATTCTTCTTTCTCTACTGATTCCGTGGTTTGTTCTCAAAGGGCCTTGACCACATCTGCCTTTTCATGTTGTGTTTAAATCACTGCTATTCGTCGATGTTACTAGTTCACAACAAAGGTAAGTATTATTAGTGTAATTCAATTTAGTCTCTCAAAAATAGACATTCACAAGCAATAGGTTATGCCTGTTAGTCAAAATGATGATGTACAATGTGAATGAAGCATACTTCAAGATTGGAGAACTCTGTACAGTTGGCTGCATCGCTGGTTGATGTACTTAATTGTAATTGTTGGCGCGAAGGTCGTGTGGCCACCATCTTGTGCCGGACTCGGTTTCTGAAAGACAAAAACAATCATAATTATCATCATCATCATCACCATCATCATTATCATCATCATCATCATCCTACTCCTGTTATGCCACTCAACGCCACACATGGCTTACAGCTTGTTGCTCCACTCAGTTCTGTCCGGGTAGTTAGCATCCTTTGGATATTTTTTCCGAATTACTCCGATAGACTGGCTGGCTCTGCACCACTTGGTGGTGAATTTATGTATGACACGTTAGGTATTGTAAGGGCCCTTTGGTTGCGAACAGTGCGGAGGCGCAGATAGATCATTACAGTCTAAGGAGAATGACGCTGCGAGGAGTTACCAGGGAAATGGCCGACGCTCAACACTCAGGGAAAGGGTGAAACGGATATACAATCATACGGGTACTGGTACCATCAGAATTGGAACTCTTCGCTGGCTGCTGAACATGGGGACTGAGCACTTATGGGAGTGTCCAGAGTGCTTTGATGTCGATTTCTAACTCAAGATTCAAGTTCTGTGACGTGGATTTGCTTTATTATCTCGGATGGAACCAAGTCCAACACTATTTTAATGACGTCCTCATGTCCTCAATCCATTTGTTTCAACTTCATTGCCTGGTTGGTCATTCTCTGTTAGATTCTCTTCATTATGTTTCAAATATACTGTCATTTTTTTCTTTTTACAATAGTTGAGACCTTCCGTTTCTCCAGATATTTCTTTTGTTTCTTCCCATTTCTTAAATTGACTGACTGACTGACTGTCTGCCCCACCAGGACACCACACAAGCGATAAACACCCGATGACACAAGGTACCACCATGTGGGTAAGAATCAACGTGGAGAGGTCCCAGAAACTGCGTTCAGCCTTTAGGCCATATTTATGGCCGGGCTTTTTTGCGGTCCCTGGCAAGAGCCAGAGTAGGGCTTCAAATAAAGAAAAATTTCATCCTTACAAGGACGGTAAATACATCGAGTACAATTGTCCTAGATAAACCTTAAAACTGACTGACTGACTTTCTACCTCACCAGGACGTCACACAAGAGATAAACACCCGATGACACAATGTGTCAACATGTGGGTGAGGATCACCGTGGAGAGGTCCCAGAAACCGCGATCAGCCTTTAGGCATGGCCCCTGGCAAGAGCCAGAGTAGGGCTTCAAATAACGAAAAATTTCGTCCTAAAAAAGACGAGAAAATCATATATAACCTAAAAACTGTTGGGACTTACCGTTTCTCCAGACATTCCTCTTATTTCTTTAGGTTTCTTAAATTAATCCTATTCAATGTTTATCAATTTCCTCAGGCATATGTTTTTCTGTGCATTTAGATTTCGTTCCATGTTGTAAGTGACAAATATTAAAATTTAAATAACATCAGAAGTGAAAAAATGTAACTTAGTTTTAAAATAATGTAGAAAATAAAAGTAAATAATTCGCGATTGTAACATTACTATCCCTTGTATGACTGATACCAACATTTGTACAAGCTTATCAACAGTTGTATCAACGATACAATGAATGTTATAGCGGGAAACGTATCACAACAGACTCATGGGCTACATTAGTAGGAAGCGAAACATAAGTTACATACATAAAAAGGCGTATATAGTGTTTAAAAAAAAGTCAGTAAAATAAAGACTACAACACTTTGCCAACTGAGAAACTTTGCCCATGTTTAACAACTTGAAAAACAACTTTAACAGAAATCTACATGGCATTCAAAATGAAAGACTTAACGAAGAAAGGAAGAAAAAAACCAGAGGAAGAAAGAGAGAAAGAAAAAAAGAAAGAAAAAGAGAGAAAGAAAAAGAAATAATAATAATAGTAATAATAATAAGAAGAAGAAGGAGAAGAAGAGTGATAGAGTGACTTATTCTGCACTAATCTGGCTTTAACAACATTATGCATTTTCTGCAGTAGACTGCAATAACACTCCAATAAGCTAAACTCAACATGCAGAAGATATTAAAGTGCATACAACTAAGATTGAGGTAATGCAGGTAAGTAGAATCC